TCGGACGTAGCCTAAATATGTGATCAACGTGGCTCCGGCAGAAGCGGGATTCAGCTCGTTCACGGATACGATGCTCTCATCTGACTGAGCCTGCGAGAGATCAACGATGTAATCACCTTGAATGTGACGGAGATAAGACTAATCCTGCAATCGTGGCGGGGCCTGTTCTTGAAAACAGGTGCGATGTCCACTAGACTCCATTAGGATAGAATGGATTTAGTAGTCCAGCTGGTTTAGAGTAAGGAAGTTAGTTCTCGGACAAGGTTTACAACAGCGTCTTTGTAAAGTACTTGAGGGAGTTCAGCTGGGTCGGCCAAATTGTGGCGATTCAGAAGTCTGAGTTCTCAGGAGAGTTCTTCTTCAGTATGTAGAGAAATGTCCACGGACCATGGAGAACTACAGACATCGGGAGATGGTGGTGCTGCCGATGGCCAATTGAACTGTTGATGCAAGTGCTCTGCCCAGTCCCCAGACCGACATCGAAGATTGTGGATACACTCATCATTAATTTCGCTTATGGTCGCACTAACGAATGGTTTTTTGTTACCGATGGATCGGATTAGTCGTAAAAGCTTGTAAGCAATACCGAGAGCATTGGTTAGTTCAATCTCGGAAGCGCATTGTGCCCATCAGGTCTCTCGATCCTCTGTTAGGAACCGTTTCCCTTCAGCACTAAGTCTTAAGAACTGTGCTGTATTCATTACTCGGAGAGATACCTCGATGAGTGTCAATTAGTTCGAGAGGCCGTGCAAAAACCCGGTGGATGACGGTGCGTTTGCTGAAGCCACATTCCTTGGTGGTGGGCAAGGCTGGAAGAAGCGGCGCGGCGGTCAGACCATGACATGGGCTAGAGGCATGAAGAAGCTGGCCTCAGCTTTGGCTTCGGTTGGTGCAGCCCGCCTTCCAGGATGGGTTCCAAAGGATGAGGATTGTCGTTGGTTAGAGACGCTGAGAGATATGGCCCAGACTAGAAGTCAGTGGCGCGAATGCTGTACGGTCTGTCTGTCGAAATCCCGTACCCCGTAAAAATACAAAAACAACACAAAAAATATCAAAAGGTGTACGGTGAAATACACAAACATTTTTTGTTATTCCAGCTATCTTCCATTTTCCCGTGTCTAACTGTTTCACCCCCTTTTCACTCCAGTCCACCTGCCCCTTTCATTTTGATTGTTATTATTTTTGTTGCGTTGGCACCATGCTTGTCTACATGCCGGTGGTATATAAATAGGTGGTAGACTTATGCATGGCATTACGGATGAGTCCATTGGCTATCAACGTTCTAAGATGACACTATATAGATTATCAACTAACGCGTTCTGGTAGGCGGTACTACGTTTGACACTGTCAGTTTTATCTTTCGGATGACATTGCCATTTTCCATTAAAGCGCACAGAGGACTTCGCGCACACGAGTGCATGATCAGAGCGATGGCAGGTTCTCCGGAGAGATTTGCCGTCTGTTATGTAATTTCTCCATCGATAGCTGATGACAACATGATCTATTTGAGTCTAAAGCTAATCACATGATGGAGGTCACCAGATGGCGCGTTGGCGCCATGGTCGACGAAAATTGGTGCTGGCAAGGAAAAGACCATGAGCAGCACAGATATGCAGGAGACGGTCGCTACTTTCAGTTCTAACACCGAAGCTATTCTGGGCCCCAAAGGAACTTCCGTCTGCGTCTAACCTACCTACTTGTGTTAGGACGGAGCCTAAGCAACCCGTCCGATCGCGCACGCCTCCGAGTCAGGCCACACGCACACTCGCAAAGCGCCAGACAGGCTGAACCTGATTGGATGATCACAGAACGTGTCAGCCAATGTTTGTCCAATCGATCAATCGATATGTCAAGGACACAATCTGATTGGTGCGTCACTACGCCGTTCTCGAATGCACGATTAGTTCTATGTGTTTTGCTTATCGATAACTTAGCAGGAATACACGACTAACTCTGTCTCAACCTGTGTTCTCTCTCCGCGTTGTCGTTGGGGTTTAAGCAAGAGTCGCTCTTGTCATTCGCACGCCTAGACCAAACACAACAACTTGCGCCTGCTCGCCGACCCGTATCACAATGTCAGTGTATCGTCTACAATGAAGGAGCTTGGTGAAATTACTTTTAGAACTCGTACTTTGTTGCATCGGGACTACAGTCTGTGAGTGTATAAGCTGAGATGAAGAACAGACGCTTTTTGGTGCCTTTATCGGATGCTCTTACCAATCCTTCCATGGTGTATGGTGCAGAGTTGACTGTTAATTAGAATCCGGTCGAATAACGTTGTTTCTGCACATACACTCAGTGCTATCGGCACACCAGCCTAACCAGCGGCCTCCGCGATCGGATCTTCAGAGACGTGGAGGGTGAACGAGTGTGCAGAATCAGGAGACAGTGAAACGAGTGTTTCAATAAGGCAGTAAACGTCCATAGCAAGCATTTCCACTGTGCGAGCGGATGCGGCGTGAGCCCCAACTTGTATAAACGTTCGCACGTTGAAAGTAGATGAGTTCTGCTGCGATTGGGCAGTGAAGACCATTTTCCGAAAGGCCTGAACGGGTGGTTATTTCTTTGGCATACGCATGGGGTTGTGGAATCATATGAAGAACAGCACTTAAAGTGGGGGTGAACTGACTCTATTCACTTGTCCAGTAACACGAATTTAGTACTTACAAGCGCGGTAGGTGGAGCAGAAACCGAATTTGACCATTTGCATTCTTTTTTTCGATACCGCTCTAATACACATGTTAGGACAAGAATAATCGCATTTGATTTTTCACTACGTGACTCACAAAAATTGACCTCAAACAAATGAGGGCACCACATGTGAATCAATAGGAATCCGGTGAACGCGTGCGTACTCAGAACCAGGTTGTCACTTTGTGCACCACCATGAATAAACAATATTCCACAGCAGCAGCAGCAGCATATCACTGTAATATTCGCAATAGGAATGGAATAGTGCAACCTGGGATTCGAACCCAATGAATAGCGCAATCATGTAAAACTAAGACAAGCTGGTGATACAGTTAATTCTACCCGGAAAATCATGCAAATAAATATCACAAACATCCAACAATCATAGGTCACTATCCAATCAACAACAGTATGGTTCATTTGGTTACTTTCTCGCATTTGGCCAATGCGAATGATGCCACTTTAGACCACATGATTGGTTGGAAAATTCGCTTCCTGATTGGCTGCCTGGAGGCTGTACCGTGGTGCGTGTGTACTCTGCGTACGACCACCACAATCACATATCATAGTGCCCGGGACAAGTGAAAACATGAAGCTAATCGGCACAAGGTTGCGCTCGAATAGAAGAAAACAGGAGTGGGATTTGCGAGAAAAGCACGCTTAGCCGGTTTGTAAATAACAGAATATTTGTATTTGTCGGTATTTAAAAAGAGAAAACATTAGACACAGTGCTTTATGTTAGTTTTGAAATCCTGTTCCTTTACAAGAATGATCTGGAAGCCTTCGTTTATTTATTGATTAGCACTGGTTTATCATTGTTTTGAAAATCATCCGCAACAGGCATTTACCTAATTCACATGGATTCGAACCCGAACATGCGGGGGTCAGTAATGCCAAATGTGTCCTGTGCCCGGGGTTCGAGTTCCAGAGGATTCTCTGGAGATGTGCACATACAGTCACACAATTGGTACTTCCCGACAAGGATGATCTTGCGGTACAATGAGTGCTTCCATTACTTATTTGGTGGTGGTGATTGTGGCGCCATCGGCGGCGGCGAGAAGATCGTGGCTGGAAGAATGCCAAAAGTGGTCCGATGGCGACTTCATTTGAATGTATCAAAACATTGAACAGGGGATTTAATTAGCTGGACCACGCAAGAGGCTTCATGATTGGGTAGCTTGATCGATGGTAAGAGATACTGAATCACACCACTGAATCACATCTCTACATATATACACATATATATCGCATGTATGATGCCAGACTGTGCGCGCAACAAAAAGTTCTATGATTTACATGTGGGCGGAATACTACCGGTTTATCCAGGCCAACACAACTGAATCCTCTTGGAGAATTCACAACCGAAGCCTTTGGATAGCGAAAACCAGACTCGCGAGGTAGTGGGGCGGGGTGTGAAGACCGCAGTCCGTTGGGGTCCGGTTTCCAGTTTATAGGGTCATACGCCCTGTGGACGGGGGAAAAGTCTAAGGGGTCTAAGGAATACAGCTGGATACCCATTCGAGCCGGTGACCAATGCCAAAATCAGCAAGTTGTGCTGTGGTTCGTGCGTCTCTTCTTGTTTGGTTTTGAACCACGGATTTTAGCCAACTCCCTTAGGTGAACTGTTCACCGACTGGGTTATACCCCGTATGTTGGCTTTTCGTCCTCCCAACTTGATGGGATAAGATCTTCGCCACGAGAAGGGGGTAGGGCTTCCTCAGTGGAGGCTACTCGAGACGCTTGATTCTATAGGAGCATTTCGCCAGTAGTAAGGGAATCATGACTATTCACAACCCGAAACACCCATCCCCGACCTCACTGGGGTTTTCGGAGGTAAGGCAGAATACAGTATTTCTTATCTGCTCCTTTCCAGGAGAAATATGGTAAGTTACTGGCTGATTGAACAATATGCGTCATTTGCTTACATAAGAATCTGTTGCGGGAGAGTTACCTGATCGGTCTCAGTCACTGTTGATAGTAAAAGAGAGATGGAATGCGTTCAATATATATTTTTTCGCTCGCATATTTCATGCATTCATAGTTTAAGCGATTTCAAGACAATCTGGATTCTTGTGAGTGAAATTCGTCAATTTTGTACAATCATCTAGCTATAACTATCTCCCTTAATTGATACTCGATTTAAATGTCTTTCAAATATTTATGCAGTTCTCGCACAACCTTACATATGATTTCATACGGTCTAAATTCTGGCTGATTGTAGACGCGAATGAGGAATGTACAAATATTCACTGATCACTAACGCAGTCTTGTTAACCAGAAAAAATCAGTTTTCATCAAAAAGCACTCACTTCATCTGCTTTCAGGCCAACAGAACCAGTGGAACGGGTGTCTGCCGTACTCTCTGACGCACTTTTAGCCGCCTCGTATGATCCGGCACCATTTGCATCGTCCGACGGCGTATTGGTTGCGGCCAGTTGTGTCCGAGTTTCAGCAATCCGGCGTTCCAGAGCGGTTAAATTATCCCGGGCCACAGCCAGTGCTTCAGC